ACCGAGAGGCTTTTAGCGCTGTACCTTGCATCGATTAACCCATAAGGCTTACCGCCTGAGTCTAGCAGCTTCTAGCTGGTCCGGTTTTTCTGTTTGGTTCTTTTTTCCATTAGCGCAGGTTTTGTCTATTATCATCACAGGAGCGAGCTTGGAGTGGTGACTACTTTACAACACACGCAGGGACCTTGGGGAACAGAAGTAGCCCCCCTCCAGAAGGAAGGACAGTGTCAGCACCAATTCAGAGATGATTGGAGGATCTACAGACGAGTGAAACACAAAAAAGATACATTTATGGTAATAGTTAAGGTAATTGAATGTATTTTTAAGATTTAACCCCTGAGCTTAGATTACACACAGATTACAAGGATGCATTCATGTATGAAACCACAAGGTAAAAGTTAAAAAGGCTTTACCCATCAAAGGGATAATTTACACAGGTATCAGAACAGGTGGGGTGGGACTTAATGAGTATTTTAAAGTAGTATTTAACTCTCAAATCTTTTAGCAATATTGAATCCAGATCAATCAAATATACAATGCCTAGCAAGGTTTTTTTTTTAATTTTTTTGCCCAAGCACTTATAGTCATCATGTTTCTGAACAGCTCCAACTCTCTCAGCTCAGCTTAAATGAACTTCCTGTCCATTGCAAGATTACAAGGGACAGAGCCATTTCTAGAAGACATCCATCTATTAGCTTGGAGAAGGGGGGATGGAGGAGAGAGGAGCAGAGAGCAGGGGAGGGTCTCGCCTTGCTGTCCTGTGTGTGGAGCAGTCTCCAGTAACTGTCCACCTACTGGCTTGGAGAAGGGAGAAAGGAAGAGGCAGCAGGGAGCTGGAAAGTGTATTGCCTTGCTGCACCTCTGTGATTGTGTAGAAACACACAGCTTACTAGCACACACAAGGATGGCTTCATAGGACCCTGCAAGGGAAAGGAGCCACCCTAAAACATGATATCAGGGCCAGTGCTCAGGGGACCAGCTGATTCTGCAGGAAACTAAAACTTTTAAACATCAAGAAGTAGCATCCATTGTAAGTGATTTCATCAGCATTTAAAATAGCTTCAATATCTTTTAATGTTATTATCACTTTAATGCTCACTAGGTGGTTCTTTGTCTTCTATGATGGGGAAACAGGTGAATGGAGTCAGTTGGTTTAAAGGGAAAATGGTTTAGGGTTAATTTTGTAAAATTTTTTTGGGTGTAAACATTTTTCCAGCGTTTTTCCACCTACATGCAAATGTTACAAAGTCAATGTTTTCATTGTTACACTAAATAGAAGAATGGAATGGATTTTGGTCAGTTTTCTATTGATTGTCTTTTTAAAGCTTACACATGTAGATGTGATTTTCCCCATTTGTTTTCTTTAGATGTGTAAATGTTCTCGGTGAGCATTTTTAATGCTCGTTAGGTGGTTCTTTGTCTTTCATTATGGAGAAACAGGGAGAGGGGGGAAGGGGGAATGGAGTCCGGTGGCTTAAAGGAAAACTGTAATAGTTTGTGTGTGCGAATCCAAAGTCTGGCTAAACCAAATTTCCATTCCTTTGGCAGGTAGAACAGATCACATATTTGTATTTCAATTGTGTATTTAAATACTTGCAACCTATTGCAGTTGTATGGATAGTGTAGTAAGCAAGCACATGCAATCAATGTAAAATGACACATAATTCTATTATCATTTGAATTTACATTGTGAAGTGTATACATTTTTTTTATTTAAATTTTGCATTATATACAGTGAGGGGAATTTATCAAAACTGGAGCAGCTGTGTATGGCAACCAATCAGCTTATCTCTTTCATTTTCAAATCTTAACTGAACAAACTGAAGAGAGAAGCTGATTGGTTGCCATGCAGACCTGCTCCAGTTTTGATAAATTCCCCTCAATATGTTCACGTTATATTTTGCATAATATATGCTCCTTCACACACATGGGTGATTCTGAGACATGGGTGTAGGTTATTGTGATTTTGTGTATGCGGAATGTTACATGTAAGATTATTCAATCTGAGTTTATTGAATTCATTTTTAAAACAAATATACAAAGAGAAAAATAATACAGAGTACATCCGCAGCAAAGATCAAGGCATGCTGAATGTACAAAGAAGGACAGAACACTGGCAACAAATCTGTAGAAGTAGATACAAACTGCACTTGACTTCACACGAAGAACAAGGATACAAGGATAGGTAGTAAGGTCATCGTTGCTGTGGGGGATATTATTATCTAAAACGTAAAACAGGTCTACGTAATTGACCACAATTAAGGAAGAAAACACATAAAATCACCATATATTCTGTTAAACATAAACAAGCGTTCAGAAAAGAATCAACTTCATTTTGTGCTGCTCTATGTAAGAGAGTGATTGCACCATCTAAGTACTAACACTGCATTCCTGATTCATTTGTACATCTAGCATTGAAGCACTAAGCACATTCACACACATACACAGGTACTATCTGGTACTATCACCAATCCCAATGGCATTTAACAATCAGCAAATGTCCACTTCACTTCACTAATAGTCACGGCTCTCTGCAGGTAGATGATCAAGAAGTGAACGAGCGACGGTATGTGTTCGCTCACTTCCCGATCTATTGAGCCGACGTATGACAGTTTCGTTGTCACATGTCAGCTCGAACTATGAGGATGAGTGATTTTCACTCACCTCATAGTTCTCCTTTAACAATAAGCAAATGTCCACTTCACTTTCTGAACTGAGCTTAGCTCAAAGAAAATGGTAAAGTTTTCTTTGGATTTTTGCTTGCACGATTGGTAAAGTCAATAATCCCCTTATTCACTAGGTTATATAAACATTCCTTTCTTCTTTAGTGAAATAACAATTTTCCTGTAGTGGCTGTATATTCCCCCGAAATTGAGGAAAGACTTCTGATTATGATGAAATATAGTGTAGGCGTCACATCCTGGTGTGATGGTCAATACACAACAATCACATTTACTGCTGTGCACTGTTTTTCTGCAAGGGGCGGATGTGAAAATCCTACATTGCTCAAGAATTCAAAGCCTTGCCTACATTGCCTATATAACGAGCTGAACGGAGGTGTTAAGCCACATTCACAAACACCAAACACAAAGCATCACAGAAAATTGTTCGTACAGAGGACTACTCTCAGTTTGCTGATTTTCCTCATCACAAGGTAAGAATAATTTTCTTCCTATGTTTTTAAAATGTCACTTCATCTGTTTGTACTGGAGCAGGGTATGCCTGTGTTACAATGTATTAATGTCTTTTTTCTCTTATTATCTCTCCACAGAAAGTACAATGGCAGTTGTTCCTGAATTAAATGACCTCCCAATGGACAGTTACAGGTACGGGCACTCAATTATTTAGTAGTTTTGTGAAATTAAAAATCCTGAGGCAGGTGAATGTTAAAGTCAGCAATATAAATGAACAAACACACATATATATATTATTGATAGCTAGATATGTTGAAAATCAGTAGCTCTTGTTACAACCAATACATATACATACAGGTGAAACTCGAATAATTAGAATATCGTGCAAAAGTAATTGCAGTAAGTGCTGCAAAAGGGGCCCAAACCAAGTACTGAGTACATATGCATGCTTGTACTTTTCAGAGGTCCGATATTGTTCTATGTACAATCCTTGTTTTATGGATTGCATGTAATAATCTACTTTTTTGAGGTTGTGGATTTGGGGTTCTTGGGGTTTTCATGAGCTGTAAGCCATAATCATCACAATTATGACAAATCACGGCTTGAATTATCTTGCTTTGCATGTAATGAGTCTATCTCATATATTAGTTTCACCTTTTAAGTTGCATTAGTGAAATAAATGAACTTAGCACAATATTCTAATTATTCGAGTTTCACCTGTATATAGCTGCAAGGAGTTTGCATGTCCTCCCTGTGCTTACGTGGGTTTCCTCAGGGTACTCCGGTTTCCTCCCACACTCCAAAGACATGCTGGAAGGTTAATTGGCTCCTGTATAAATTGTCCCTTATATGTATGCATGTGAGATAGGGACCTTAGACTGTAAGCTCCTTTAGGGCAGGGACTGATATGAATGTGCACTGTGTAAACGCGCTGTGTTAAATTGCCAGCGCTATAAAAATACCAATAATAACTAAAATAAAATATATGTGTGTATTTTACGCACACACATGCATTATCATTAGCTAGAAAAGTTGAATGTTACTAACTCCAGTTGCAAGCAGATTGGCACTATTGTGACAATACTTTGCCCATGTTCATTTACAGTGGAATAAACAAAAACTCTTTTTCTTTTTTCTGTTTAGTGAAGAAGAATTCTATGCAGAGTGCTCTTCTGAAATTAAGGTAAATTGTGGTTGAAATAAAGTCATTTTACATTGATTACATGTGCTTATTTGCTACACTATCCATACAACTGCAATTGCTTGCAGACATTTAAATACACAATTGAAATACAAATATGTGATCTGTTCTACCTGCGAAAGGAATGGAAATTTGGTTCAGCCTGACTTTGGATTTACACACCTCTGATCCAGCTTCCTGTGCCGACTTTCTTCACATTGGACAATGAGAGAGCATGATCACGCTGATGATGAATTGTCCAATGAGCAGGAGACACAACCATCTACAAAGCTAAAATATAACACATGATATATATAGTGCTCTCACCTACCTGTGTATGCTGCGTGGCGGGATGTGTAAATCACAAGATGGGGAAAAAGAATCCATAGACTTTGGCGGGAGGAGCAGTTCACATAGATGCATTGTAGCTGTGTAGTTAGCTGTTTGCACGCAGTTCTGCTTTAAGAATGAGATAAGACTCTCATTAGAAAAAATAATTTTGGTGTGCCCACCATATATGCAGTAATTTGGGGACAAAGCTGCTTTAGTTGGGATGATATTACGTATATGCCGGTTAATTCCTTATTATATCTAAACAGTCAATATTTACTATTTTTACCCTAATAAATCTAAATTTGCATTTTTTTTGTGTTGTACAGGTCGATGTGAACCATTATGGATGGAAAGCTTCCATTTCTACTCAGTCTGGCTACAAGTCTAGTATAACTCGGGAGATGATGAAGCCAAGAAGACCTGCGCCGTCCTTAAAGAAAGCAATCAAGTTAATAGTAATTGTTGGACGGGTGTCAGGAAGGAAAGGTTTCGCGGCAGAGTGCATGTTCGATGACCAGGATCTACTGAATCACATCTTGGTGGAGGGTAAGTTCCTAAGCACCTGAAATAAAAGGAATTGTATCTAGAACTTACATTCACATCAGTCCCTGCCCCCAAATGTCTACAATCTATGGTCACCTTTTCAAATGTATACATTACACATACTGGGGCCAATATAGACAGGTGCAAAATAACGTACCTCCAAGCTCTCTCCCATGATGGACTACCATCTCAATACTAAGTAGTATACTAAACGTGAGATTGTAGTCCATCACAGGAGCGAGCTTGGAGTGGTGACTACTTTACAACACACACACAGGGACCATGGGGAACAAAGGTAGCCACCCTCCAGAAGGAAGGACAGTGTCAGCACCAATTCAGAGATGATTGGAGGATCTATAGCCGAGTGATACACAAATAAGATACATTTTTGTTCATAGTTAGGGTACTTGAATGCGTTTTTAAGGTTTAGTTCCTGAGTTTAGTGTCAGTTTAATGTACAGGAGATTATTTAAACAAGACACATCTCTAACACGCTTTTTTTTTTCTGTCTTTAGATGGCATTTCCTTCAATAAAGTAGAGGAGACGTGTGCAGCCGCACCCAAATTCCGCTACAGTAACACAACAGTATACATGATTCGGGACAGCAGGCAGAAGAGTCTGATGCTGCAAGAATACCAAGGAAGTGCCCACATGGTGGCTTTGTTTTTACAAGGGAACAACCGTACCAAAGAAGGTAAGCTGTGATTTGCAGATAGGTGTTCAACAGTATACAATAATCTGTTGTGTTGGAATGTATTGATCTTTCATTCCCTGACATAAGGGACATAACAAGCCAGCTAGTTTAATTAAACAAATAACACATTTGTGGATATAGAAGGTATCTTTGTGTGATTTTTCATTCAAATCTATATCCTGTGAAGATAGAATAAGAACACATTTTTCATAGGTCTTCTTATTTCTTTTTAGCAAAGATAAACATGGATGCCTACAGGTCTTCACCTTTCAATGGACAGACACAGCCAGTTACATTGGGTCTTGTAGGTCGCAACCTCTATTTATCTTGCGTAGTCGAAGAGGGAGACCAAAATACTCCAATCTTATCACTAACGGTAAGCATTAATTACTGTTTTTTTAGTGTGTGTATGTGTGTATATATATATATAATAATTATACTATAATATTTGGAAGTTTGAAGTTTAAGCATTACCCTTTATTTTCTAACTTCACTTATAAAAGATGCAAGCTTTCAGGATTCCTTAGATCTCGTTGTCAGGCTTTATACAATACTATATTAATACTGTATGTTAAAAGCGAAAAGCATAAAATAAGATACTGTATAACCCACTGAAATGCAATAGGAATATATTAGCATAGGCATAGTTTTATATATTGATAAGTCTTAATTAGGGATGCACCAATACTTTTCAGATACCAGTGTCGATACTTGGCATTTTCATGAGAGCTACCAGGGTTGCAGCTGGGACCTGGCTCTGGCGCTCCACCACTTTACCACTTTCCTGAAATCATTAGTCTGTATTGTTTTAGAAAAACTGAGACATGACAATAAACAAAAATGTATCAGTACTTCTATCTGTGTGTACTTGGGCAAGTATCAGTACTTTTATCTGTGAGTACTTGGGCAAGTATCAGTACTTGTACTTGCACAAATGGCATCGGTGCATCCCTTTATTTATATTTTAAAAAACAAAATTATACATTAAAACAGAGATGTACAAATCCCAGGAGCTCCGTGTGCTCCTTACAAATGACAGCGGCCTCCTAACTTTTGAATTTGTCTCTAGTCTAGTCTTGGAGCTCAAAAAGTAGCTGTACTTGTACTTAGTACGGTACTTGGTATCGGTGCATCCCTAGTCTTAATAAATATTTCTATCCTGCATTTATATGTCATTTTAAGTAGTCTAAAAGCTTATAGTACAACTGGACCTTTGGTTTAGTCCACCTAGAAAAATACTTGCCTTTATCCAGCAATCATGTGCAGTGCTGCACAGCCTTACTTTAGAAGGCATCCTAACCAGGCCTTCCTCATCTTGTGCATGCTTGCTGCGGCTGCATTCATTCCTATGGAAAGAGCCATATCCTACAAAACCTCTGGAGGCCCCCATCTTCATAGGAATAAACGGGGCCATTGCGGGCATGTGCATGATGAAGAGGACCTGGTGGGGAAGCTACATCAAGGATAAAAGTAACTATTATTCCTGGTGGGCTGCACTCATGGGGTGGAGGCCTTAAAGCACAACTTGTACCAAAGGTTACCGTAATTTGTCTTTTAAAGAATAATTGTAATTCTGGGTGAGGGCACAGTCTAAGGTTGGCCCATATGTGTTTGTGAATATTTTCCTCAATACGGCAAAATTAGGAATTGTGTATCAAACCCTGGTAGGTCAGATTTGATTGAACCGGTTAAAATACTGCTATTACAGTCACACAAACCTACTGCCTACCTACATACAGTATTATATTTCCGGATGGGGGGGAGTCATGGGCTACCATTGATTATGTTTTCCGTGGGCCAATTTGTTTAGCTTTTTTTTTTTATTCCTAAAACTCATCTAAAACTCTTCTCTTTGGTATTTCTTTAATAGGAGGTCACAAACATCCAGACAAAAGAGAGCAATGACCTGATGCCCTTCCTCTTTTATAGAAGAGAAAACATTTCTACCAGGAAGAACACCTTTGAATCAGTTGCTTTCCCCGGCTGGCATATTTGTACCTCTCAGGCTGAAAACCAGTTTGTACAAATGAAGCCACAAAGTGATCAAGCACACATCAGAGATTTCCTGCTTTATCCGCCCCAATAAGCTCAGAACCAACCCATGCATGTATGTACCATGTACAGTGCAAAACCATGAGTCTATTCTGTTACATATCTGAATTATTAGTTGACCCAAACTGCTGTTCAGATGTGACAGAATCAGCTACCTGTAATTACTTTTATAAAGTTCCTAGTCTCGGTCAGAGAACAAAACAGTAACTCCATTAAGAGTTATTAAATCGTGTTGTATTTATATATATTATTTTGTAATATTTATTGCGATTTGTAATACAGTGCAGGGTATATATCGCTGTTTTGTAGTCTATTTTTTACGTATTTATTTATCTATTTTGTTATTTATTGTCAGCAGCAAATATATTACAAAAGAATATAAAAAATGACATGACATAAATGAGTTTGCCTTATCCTAAGGTAAACGCAGTCTATAAAGTTTTTAATATTACTATACAGAATGAAGAAGACAAAAAAACAAACAATGCTAATAATTCATATTTATGAACTGTATATTTGTAATTTTTATGAAAATTATTGTATTATTTATGACAGACTTTGATGTAAATAAACTCGATAGAAACAAACATTCTTGTGTGATGTTTAGGCTTGATGATGCTGATGATTAAACCACCTTTAAGTCCAGGCCATTTTCAAGTTTACATGATGGGAAATGTATAAAAAAAAGAGCCAGCTGCAGAACGTGGGACTTTTTAGGTGTCAAAAGTGAATATGCACAAAAATTGTCTATATAAAATAAAATGTTTATTAATAGAAATGAAAACCATATTGATATATTTATCTAAAAACAATGTATTGAGGATGCATCATCTGCTGAGCTGAACATATCATCAGATGAAGAGCTGATCTGTGCTCTGCTCTTGCTGCACAGAGATAGCAGCTATGCATGTCGCAAGCTACACCTGATACCTAAAGTGACATTAAAGTCAAACGTTTGTTTCCCCTTCCCAATCCCGCTGTAGGCACTTACCTTAAATGATGTCTCCTGATCCGATCATCTTCTTCTTTGCTGCCATTTTCAACTGTCCCTCCAGCGCTGGTGCGGGTCTCCGATCCAGCGCTGACACCTCTGTGTTAGCTGGCACTTCCTGTCACACAGAGTCTGTGTGGGTGCATGCTGCTCCATAGACTTACCTTGTGTCTCTCCTCGTCTCCTGGCCAAAGATCTAAACTGCGTATGCACCCGCTCCAAGATCCTTTGCGGCCATCCTAAACTCTTCAGATGTTTGGACGGGAGCACGCGGCGAAGACACAGGTAAGTTTTAATGTTTGAAAGGGTTTTTAAAAAAAATTTTTGGTATATATCTACTGCTTGCTTGCAGTAGATATATGCAAAAAACGCTGAGGGTTTATTAACCCTTTAATATAACTTGCTTCCTGCTACTTCCTGTCCAACCTCCTCTCTCTCTCTCCCTAATTAAATCCTGCTCAGACCATCCTGCTTTGGAGAGCCTGTCACCAGCCGAAGATCAAATGCAACGCCTAGCTCTGGGAATTAAACTCCCAGCAGGCTAAAAACAAATAATGCTGCTTCTATAGGATCTTACCTCCCGCCTGGATTGACTGCAAGTCGCAGTCACCTCAACTTTTTCAGTCCCTGCTCCTGCCCCAGCAGCTGCCATGTCACCTGCAACACCCAACTCTTCCTGCCTTTGTTTGCCTCCACCACCTAATTTTTCTGGTGATCCTAAGGCTTGTCGTGGCTTCATTAATCAGGGTTCCATTCACTTCAAACTTTGCAGCTACCATTTCCTTATAGATCACACCAAGGTGGTGTATATCATCTCCCTCCTCTCTGGTCATGGGCTACTCCACTCTGGAAACGACAGGATGCAATATCCTCCAACTTCCCTGCCTTCTTAGATGCATTGTGGAAAACTTTTGATGAACCAAGAAGAGTGTCTTCTGCAGCTGGGGCACTCCTCCGCCTTTGTCAGGAAGGAATGAATACACAGTCCAATTCTGCACTCTGGCTACTGAACTTTCATGGAATAATGAGGCTCTTAACGCTACCTTCTGGCAAGGCCTATCTGAGTGTATAAAAGATGAACTTGACAGACGCTCTATTCCCACCACTCTAGATAACTTGATCGTTTTGAGTATCCAAATAGACATTTGTTTCCAGGAAGGAGCCCTGGAAAGATTCAGATTATGGTGTCTTCCATCTGGTCATTTAGTACTGGTGTACCAAAATACCTGTATTCTATCCGTCTTCCATCTCTCAAGCCTTGCAAAAACCAATGCAGCTGAGGGGAACCCACCTACAGAGGAATGCAATGAATGCACCCGTCGCTTCAGTGTGCCATTACTGTGGTGTTAAAGGTAATCTCTTGAACTTCGGTCGAGTTCATCCAGGAAACTCAATGGTCTAGTTGACCCTGAGGTAGGTGATCTAGATCTGTCTTTAAACACTGCCAGATTTCCTCATTTCACCGTACCCATTTCTATCCACTGGGCCAGAAATGCTTATAAATTCTTTGCATATGTAAATTCTGGAACTTCAGTGAACAATCCTTGACCTCTGTGTAAGGCATTCCCTTTGTTGCCCTGACTATACCTCTCTCTGTGACCGCAGTAGATGGCTCCTTCTTACCTATAGGCCCCATCCAGATTCAAACCCCCTCTATAGCTTTGCAGATTTGGGTTATGTATCGTGAGAAAATGTCTTTCCTGATTTTGCCTAAATCCACCAATACGATCATTCTAGGTCTCCCTTGGTTGCAAGAACACTCACCGCATTTGGATTGGAACTTTGGACAAATATTGTAGGTACAACCTCCATTGGCTGGGAATTCCACAGCTGCCATACAGCCTCCTCAGTATCCTCAGCCTCCTTTGGTGCTGTTTTGTGCAAAAAGCCTGCAGATCTTCTCCTTCCTCATATAGACTACCACTACTCCATCAAACTCCTACCAGGAACCTCACCTCCCCATGGCCGAATCTATCCACTCTCCATCCTGGAAACAACAGATATGTCTGACTACATCATCAGGAAAAACAACTTGGCCACTGGAGTCACATTATACGTGGTCGAAAATAAAGATGGTTCGCTTTGGCCATGCATTGATTACACGGGCCTTAACCCTATCACTGTTAAAAATCAGTACTTAGATATCTGAACACTTTGACTGACTGCAGGGTGCTCGTGTCTTCACCAAATTAGATCTTAAAAGGTACTTACAATTTAATTAGAATCCAAGAAGGAGAATACTGATAGACAGCCTTTAACACCAGGGATGGGCATTATGAATATCTTGCGATGCCTTTTGGCTTCTATAACGCTCTGGTTGTTTTCCAAAACTTTGTTAAGAAGATCTTCCATGACCTTTTGTATGTGTCAGGATATCGTGCACGTGTGTCTCCACACCGCATGCAGGTATCTATACCAAATATGTGACCACACCAGATAATGCTTATGAACTTATAGTTTAATAGACATACCAAAATCATATAAACATAAGCAACCCCACCAACAACCAACAGTAACATAAAATAGCCAAACTAAATACAAATAGCAAAAAATCACAGACAGACAATAACGGGGCTAGTGAACCTGGGGAGCTACAGATCAGGAGACCTCAGGAGAAGGAGTCAGGGTCCAAGGAGGTAACAGGCAACAGGATTCAGGCAACAGGATACAGGTTAGGGTGACAATACTTAAGGTGCCCACACACCTTGCGATAATCGTACGATAATTGCGGGAAATCCCGCCTTCGTCTGATTATCGCAAGGTGTGTGGAAGGCGTGCGACTGTTTCTAATTTACGGTCGCACGACTTTTGTCTTTCGAGCATGTTCGAAAACCAGCCGAGAATCATACGATTTTCGGCTGGTTTGTAGCATGATCATGAGATAACTGCTGCACGGGCCGGTGTGTGCAAGCGCACACTGACCGTTTAGCATTGCGGTCATCGGAAGCTCGCCCCTCAGCGGGGCGGGCTTGCGATTGGCGCAAGTATGATCTGCCTGTCCAAGATGGGCAGATTGTACATTTTTTTAATTACCTTACAACCATCGCAAGACAAAAGTCTTGCGATGGTTGTAAGGTGTGTGGCCAGCTTAAGGCACCAGCCTCACTGTGAGAAGGGGCTAAATACCCTCCCAGGCCAGCACCAGGTGGAGACTAAGTGCCGACAGCTAGGAGGCGCCCGCAGGTGAGCACCAGAATTGCAGGTTCCAGCACCACCCAGTGGTGGTCTGGCACCTGACAGCCCATGGCTGCTTGAAGACACCTGCCTGGAGACACCTACAGCTGGTGGTATACTGAGACGCCGCGGCTGAAGCAGATCCCGACAATTATGTCTGGATCCGCCCAGCTGCGTGAGTGACAGCTGGCTCTGCCCATCTAGAGGCAGAGCCAGCTGTACCCACCCCCTCCCCCGTCCGTTCCGCCAGCCAGTACTGGAGGATCGGAGCGAGGAGAATCCCTGCGGGGAGAGGTGACTGACAGTGATTGAGAAGTGAGCGAGCGACGGTATGTGTTCGCTCACTTCCCCATCTATTGAGCCGACGTGTGACAGTTTCATTGTCACATGTCGGCTCGAACTATGAGGATGAGTGGAAATCACCTCATAATTCTCCTTTAAAAATCTTCATACGGCCGCTTCCAGGCATAAAACAGCAGCAGATTGCCATCGTCATCCTGTTCCCAAATTCCTACCCGGTGATACGGTTTGGCTCTCTATTAAGCACATCCACCTCCAAGTAACCTTAATTAAATTTGCTGCATCATCGGACCCTTTCTGATCCTCCACTTGGGATAAGTATATAATACGTACCCTGGAGATATCTACTAAGCACATTTGTTGCTGCTGGGATGATAGAGTAAATATCACAGTTTCTGGTGTAATCATCTCCACAAACCAAGCAGAACAAGCAGATTGACCTGTTATGACCTTTTGGACAAGCCTTGCAGTTTAAATTGCTTTTACTTAGGTTAGGGTTTTAAGGGTTAAAATTTCTTCTTGCTTCTCTTTCTGTAAAATGTTAGGAGGGGCTGTAAGATGTAAGGAGTCTGAGGTGGCTTGTCCTTTTTATGTTCATGGTGCTTATCAGATAAATATAATCCTCATATTTCAGTCCCAAGTCTTTCCATTAGGACAGATCACTGTGAAGGCGCTGAGGAAAAACCTGGAATCAACCATCTTGCATGCTGTAACAAAACATCTAAAAGGTTAGAATTTCTTTGCTATGCCGTGTGAATAGGAACACATAAGAAACATATGGAGGGGTTTTCTCAGATTTGACTGCAAAAGTGGAATTACACTTTAAGAGAGATTGAATGAGCTAGTGCAGGGGTGCCCATTAGGTTGATCGCGATCTACCAGTCGATCGCAAAGGAAACACTACTAGATCGCGATGTCCTGTCCTCCCGCTGTGGGGCTTCTCCTCTGGATCCCCGCTGCTCTCCCCCATGTGTATGCAGCGGGGATCAGAGGAGAAGTGAAGGAAGCGCTGCAGCCGGCGGCGGGGAGGAGCAGTGAGGAGAGAGAGCTGCCGATCAGCATCTGACAGCCGGCGGCTCTCTCTTTCTCCTCACCGCTCCACCATGCTGCTGTGACAGCGGCTCCCTCTACCGCTCCCCACCCCCGCAGCTGAAGTGCTTCCTTCACTTCTCCTCAGGTCCCCCGCTGCATCTGCCTGGGAGAGCAGTGGGAATCCAGAGGAGAAGTTGCAGGCTTCTATGTGTCCCCAGTTATGAATGAACAGGAATTGCTTTACATCACTGTTCATTCATGAGTTTCTCAATGGGGAGTAAAACTCTCTACAGAGCCTCCTCCACATTGAGAAACTGGGTAATAGTAAATATTTTCTGAATAAATGGTAAGCCTCTGTGCTTTCCATTCATTTAGAACAAAAAAAGAGATTGAGGACTTTTT